CTGCTAGGAAAGCTTATTAGTGCTATACAGTACTAACTTCTCCAGGGCTCTGTGGTTGATATTGCCAACACCACAGGGGCCATCTTGTCAGCTGTTTCTACAGCGTGCATTGTTTCATAAATAGGCAGAAGTTAAAAGAGCAACTAATTTTCAAGTTACTTTTCAAGTGAAAAGTTTACCTATTAGTCTTCTTAGGCTTGGGAAGCATAGATCTTACTGCTGTAATCTACAAATTCCAATATTCAATTTCAGTAGAATTTCAAAATGCAAATTTCTCACACCTTTCCTGTCCTCCCTGGATTTCAAGCACAAGTGGATTTCAGATACAAATTCCCCTTCAAGGTTAGTCAATCTTTAAACACTGGTTGACTCCTATCATTTTCTCCCTAGTTACACTCGAGTTCTTTTGCTCACTCCATAGTTGTACCCCTTAGGAAGGCTACACGACAAAAAACAAAATAGACAATTTGGTCAAATTATCAGTCAGGTCAGTGATAAGAAAAATCAGTAAAATTGGTGGTAGGGTGCAAGGTAGATAGATAGATCACTGGATCACATCATAACATCAGAGATTTAGAGCTGCATAGGACCCATGCCACATCCTGTTAACTCACTGCATTTTTTCAAGTCTGTATCTCAAAAAGCCAACCTGAAGAGTCATGTAGCTTATGCCAATAAAGAAAGCTTTGGCACTGTCTACTTTGTTGAACATTCGTCTGCAGTGCTATCCCGCAAGGGCCAGCTGAATTAAGAGAACTCAAATTTCATCTAGTGAGGATGACCCCACCTAATTAATGTAGGAGAGCCAACCAATCAATCTGATGAGTAATGTTTGATGATCCACACACAACCACCACTGATGTCTGTCAGGTGAATTGGGAGCTTGGGAGGACTCAGGACTCGTTTCTTGTTTTTTTGGGGGGTTTTTTTGGTGTGTGTTTTCATCAAATGCAGCTTCCATTACCAGAGAAGGGGTCAATACTGTTTGGAACTGCTTTGTTTCCATCCAGTAGAGGGCAGGTATGCACCCATAAGGATTCAAAATATTCATAGCAAAGTGCTAACCCTGGAGTCAAAGGTTTCGCTTTGAGTAGTTACCTAGGGGCTAGTAGAAAGCAAAGAGGAGACCTTCATGGTTAACTTTTCTAAAAACCATTAATTACATTAGTGTACAAAGGAAAAACAGTGCATTCTCTTACCTTCCCTGCCTGACTTAGGGGCCAAAGCACTGTAAGCATGTTCTTCTCTTACTTAAAAAAAATCCAATACAATCCTAATTCAAGTAATAGATAAAAGTACACACAAGCTGGTTCATAGAAACAAAGACTACCACCAACCAGTCCTAATTATCACTCTTCTCTTAGAGCAGAAGGATTTAATCATTTTGTCATGGACTCTTGGGGCAGTCTGATGAAGGCTATGGACCCCTTCTCAGAGTAATGTTTATGAAATTCATAAAATAAAAAAATAGGATTACAAAGAAAAACAATTGTGCTAAAATAGTTATCAAACTATTAAAAAGAAATTCACAGACCCCTTGATCAACACCATTGTCTTAGAGGGTTATAGACCCAGTGGGCAAAGACTACATAATTTTCAATGTGTTACCTCACATATTTTTATTATCTGTTGAGTGACGATGATGATGATAATGATGATGATGATTGAAGAGAGGCAACATGACACAGTCTATAGCAAGGAAGACATGGTTTGAAGTTCCATTTCTGACATATGCTGAGTGTGTGACCATGAGCAATCATTTAACCTTTTTGGGACCCAGACAATGTTCTAAGATTAGAAGGTGCAGAGCCTTTGCTGTTCTGCATTGGTAGAGGAAATTCCCTCTGGGAAGCACCCCACACTATCATGATCATAAATCTAGCAGAAAAAAAGTTACTTGAAACTGGAGAGCCATCATGTTTTGGCATCAATTCAGATTGTGGTATTTTCAGATAATTGTCATATCACTAGTTGATTTCTATCTTAATTAGTGATAAGTGCAATGTGCTTGGCCACTATAAAACTGTGCTATTATAATGAATAAACACAAAGTTCAGCTGAGGCAAAAAGTGAATACTATTATTGTACTACTCTTAAAGATACCTTCTAGCTAGATCCCTTCATTTTGTAACTCATCCTATTGCCTTATGCTTACGTTTCAGTTTGTAGGACTCAAAGTTCCCAGCCAAGTACTTTTTTGGTCTTCTCTTGTCCAGACTAGTTTCCTTCACCTTAATAGCTTCTGACCATGGAGTAATTAGGAGAACTTTAGTTTGGAAACGAGCTTCATAAATCAGACACTAGAGAACAAAGGTAGTTTGTTCCAATAAATAGTACCAAATAAATACTCTATTTATTTATGAAGATTCCAGTTGCTCTAAGCATGCAGAAGCTATGCACAAAATGAGCAAAATTCTCCTGGGAACTCAAAGAAACTTCTGCAGCAGGAAGGTCACCATTACAATGATCATATTCAATATGAATTGGTTTATTGGTCCCAATAACAGGAACTATAAATAGCTGTTGCTGCTTGATGTGAAGATGGGTAAAAACAGGCCAGAAGTTAGAATGAGAAGATAAAATAGTTGGTTAGCAGAGTTGTTTAGTGTAGCACCACACCAATTCAGCCAAGATGCCAGTTCACTCTCATATGGGCCAATCAGCTCTGCTCTGATTCCTGACCACAGACTGTGCTTCAACCTCAGCCATTCATCATGTGCCCTGCTAGTCAGGGCACAAATTCATCCTCTATAAATGGAAAACCAAACTGAAAAAAAAAATGGCCTACTAATTGGGGGTCATCTGCATTATCTTTATATAAGAATTTCCAAACATTTTGTTTTTTCTTTTAGGTGCAGAGTCCCAGACTGAAGCAACAAGGCATAATAAACAAGTGATAGGAAGCAATGGCTGCATGTAAACCATGTAAGCCTAGAGTACACCATCCATCAGGACTTTGTTTGGGTGGAACAAAGACAGCCCAGGAAGCAAAGCTGCCACAATGGTACCAAAAATTTGTAAACAAACAAAAAATGCCAGTCTCAGCTGCCAACAAGATGATGAAATTGTCATCTCGAATATAATATGTTCACAGGAATGAGATCTTATGAGCCAGCTGTTTATAGGCTGCAATAAATCGATACATGCATGGATGGTATCAAAGTCTAAGAACTGAACTGTTGGCACATATCATATAATTTTTTCAGATTACTACCTAATAAAAATAGATTTTTTTATTTGTTTCTTGAGTGCTGAGGCCTCACTAATACCAACCAGCAAAGGGGACCCGAGTATGAATATGTGTGATCACAGTATTGAGGGCAAAGTCTGATGTTAACTAAAATACAATTCAGGGTTATGATATCAATCTGTCAAAGCATGCACAATCTGATGTGGACCTTTGATCATCTCTTTGCCAATGCATCTTTAATGCAATGAAGATTTCTAGCTCCTGATTTGATAATAAAGGCCTAGAAAAAAAGATATTCTTCGCAATGTTACTTCCACAATTCAGGACTTAATTAGGTAGGAGCTTGAAAATTCTAATATCCAATACTTATGTCTAGAAGAAAATGAATCCTGTGTGTTTGGGTTCAAATAGTGAACAAAAGAGGCATTCCTATTTATAAAAATAAAAGGTGGGAAAAAAAAGAAAATGCTTAAATAATTGCTGTAGCATTCTCCCAGAATCTGAAGGAATCATAGACTTATTGAGAGTCAGTCAGAGTGGATAGTCTAAGTGTAATGAGCCCATTTTGTCTCCCAATTTGGGCAGTGAGAACCCTGTACTTCGAATCATAATTCCCAGAAGCTAAATGCACAATCCTGATGATATGTTAATTGTTTTAGTTTCAGCCAACTGTTATTTTCCTTAGATTAGATTAGTATTCAATATCAAAGACCTGACTGAGTTCTGACCTTAGGTTATTTGTTCAAAGACTCTGGGAGATTCATTTAGCACCCCTGTGTTCTTGTTTCCCCGCCTTTACATGAAAATAAAAATTTAATTCAGAAATACAGAGGGAGGCACTTTGTAAAGGAGGAGAGAGAGGCATAAGAACAATAAAATGACCCAAACTGTGTTGAGACACACGCCCAGCTTCGCCATCATTTCAGACATTCAGGCTAATGTGGGACAGCTGAAAAGAAAATATTGTATATATTCATTCTCCCAATTTTTAATAGAATGACAACAGACTTACTATAGAGAGTTTTGTCCCCCTCAAATAGTCGTTTAGTTATACTAGGCAGTTTGCATCCCTGGCCTTTTCCAGAACAGGTTTCATTTTTCTTTTGCCTGCATGATTTTCTATAATCATGGAAGTTGTACAAAGAGGGATGGTTTGGGAAGAGCAGTTACTAACAGTTACTAACAGGACAAGCTGCTGGGACTGGGTGGGTACTGGTAGGGATTGCTCAAAAGTTTTGAGGAAGGGTATATGCCAGTGGCTAGCCACATCCCCTTTCATAATGGAAATGCTTGTCCTATTCTTATGCTTCTCTGGAAGTCAACACCGCAGGGCCCATCCTGCTAGAAGTACCAGAGAAGGGGAGATGGTAACCATCTCTGGTCTGGCACTGAAGATAAAATTTTTTTCTGGCAACTTTACTTTATAGCAACATGGATATGCCCTAGTTTAGAGCTATACATGTATGCTTTATTTTAGACAGCAGTTGTCACTTTCAAAAGTACTAAAACTGAATTTTTGCTCATTGAATTATAAAAGGTAAATTAACTAGGAGAGTTCATTTTTTTGTCTATAGCCTGTGAGAAATATTTTTATAAAGATAAGAACCTTTTTGTGAATAACCCCTAATTTATCTATTTTATAAGTATATTTACAAATGGATTTTTGTATACTGTTTTCCCTATCCATAACTGGAAAGAAAAATTATTTATCCAAGATTTTACAAGGAATGAGCCACTACTGTAGTAAATCATGACATTAAATTAACACTAAAACTTTGGGAATAAAAAATAGAGAAGAATTTCTCTTTACCCATGATGCCACTGAGGTAGACACCATATAGTGATAAGCCAGTTGTAGCAGCATTCCACACAGTTCCAATAACAGCGTATAAAAGGATGGTCCCGAGATTTCCAAAGAACAGGCGGTTTGGCATAAAATACCCAGCATCTAATACAATGGGTGGCAGCAGGTAGAAGAAGAATAATGTTGGCGTGAGGGTGAAGGAAGCAATGTGGTCTGCAGCCCACACAATCCCTCCCAGGATAAGGCCAAGAACAATGAGCAAAGCACTTTCTGGAACAACGCTGGTGACTTTGTGAGACAGGTGGAAAACTGCAAAGAAAAAGAAAAAGGTTTTTTTGGTAGAATCAGAACACAAGGCATATTTCTTAGATAAAGTAGCTTTCGCTCAGCATCTTTGACTGTCTTCTTCATCTTTGCATTCCTAACTCCTATGACTATTTTGCATTCTTAAATACTTCTGGACCCTGTGATTTCTACTGGCAAGCACTGTCTCCAGTGATGCAATTAAAGCTTCTTTGAAGCCTTATAAGATAGCTTAATGAGTTTTAATAACCAGATGAACAAAACAAAGCACCGCCCTCCGGCCGTATCACCACTTGTGGCCCGCCTTCCTGTCATGAACTTCTCTGAACTTAGCTAGGCCATTTGGCAATGGTTAGACAATCCATCATTAGGCTTATAGCATGGAAGGACCTGCCAATGCTTGTTCTCAACGGCAGCAGCCTGTGAAAACCCAGGGTTACCTTTAAGCTTTAATGAGGCATCGGAGGGAGCTTTCACATAGTAGGCACTTAGTAAATGTTAGTAAAAGTAATAAATTTAAGTTCTGCTCCTTGAAAGCAAAGTTCCCTTCCTCTGGCCTATAAGCTTTAGAAATACCCTTGCACCGGGTCTCCTCCTTCTTTGATGAACAATGAAGGACTCCAGGAAATGTCAGGCAGCTATGGTAGCCATGTGGACCCCAACAGAGTCCCTCTTGAAGATCAAATGGTTCCTTTCTAGGGCTTCCTTTTAAAATAAATGGAAGCACCTGCAAAGTGGGCAATGCGTTTGGTTATAAATCTAATCAAGGTTCATGCTGATGGAATTTTGACATTTTCCCTCAAATGCATTTATATCAGATCTAAAAAATCCATGGCCTTTTGCAGAATATGGATCTGAACTCACCAGTTGGTACTTGGGACAGGAGTCTTCCAGTTGTTCTGTTTCCTGTATGGTTATAAGGTCCTCAAGGGAAGAGACTACATGTTTCATTTCATTTCTATTCCTCCACCTTACACATGTTCTTAGCACATTGTAGATATTCAATAAATATACACTGGTTAATCACTGGGATGGGGACAGAGGGTTATCTTTCTCTTAGATGTGCTTCATCTGGCTCTGGCCTAACCAGCTTTATTATACATTATTCCTCTCCAAACACCCTAGAGTCCATTCCTTTTTGCTGTTCCTTACACGTGGCAGTCTGTCTTATATCTCTGGGCCTTTGAACTGGCTGGCTTCCATTTCCTGAATATTTTTTCCATCTAAACTCCACCTTTTAAAATACCTAATTTCCTTGAAGCACCATTTTTTCATGAAGCCTTTCCTGATCTCCTCCACCTGTTAAGGCCACCCCCAAAAATTATCTGGCATTTATTCTGTATACAATTTTATATGTAATTTCACTGATAGAATGTAAATTCCATGAGGGAATGGACTGTTTGATTTTTGTCACTGTATCTAAATTACCAAGCATAGCCTCTTGCATATAGTTTTGCTCAGTGTCCAACTCTTTGTGACCCCATTTGGAGTTTTCTTGGCAAAGATATTGAAGTGGTTTGCCATTTCCTTCTCCAGATCATTTCACAGATGAGGAAACTGAGGCAAATAGGGTTAAGTGACTCACCCAGGGTACCACAGTTAGTAAGTATCTGAGGCCAGATTTCAACTCAGGAAGATGAGTTTTCCTGACTCTAGCCCAACACTGTGTCCACTGTACCACCTACCTGCCCTGGCACATAGTAAATTCTTAATTAATGTTTCCTGATTGATTTATTGATTAGCTCAAGCTAACCCATATTCCCAGACTCATTTCCTATGAGGCAATATTGCACTCTCCTTTTCCCTAGACACTCAGTTCTCTTTTAATTCACTCACTGGATAGAGGCTTCAATCTGACTAATACCATAGCACAAACACTGTAATATACTAGACTCCCTTCTTTTCATGCCTTCATTTCAGTATAATAAGACTCTCCCCTGGAAATCACTGTTTTCTTCATTTGCTAATTTGGGTAGAGTTTTTTCTTAAGGCAAAGGTCCACACTTAATTTTTTTTTTTTCCTGATGAGGAGCTACAATGAATATCCTTGAAGTCTTTCCATAGCCTCCAAGGCATGTGGTGGGGTAGTGATGCATAGGCTGGGTAGCATGGTGACTCATCAGCCAAAAGGTGTTGCTGACTGTGAGGAAAGGGGTGGAGGCAGTGACTGATTTACATTTAAGCCAGATAAAGCTTTGAGATCAATCCGTAGATTTTAATCCAATACTTAGGGACTTCTCTCCAAAGGATCACAACCTTCATCCCTTTCATCTTTAAATTATCAACTAGTCTATTCCCCTAAACTCCTAGAGCAAAGAGTCACCATCTTTTATACCCAGAGGTGAACTGTCCTGAAATGGGACTATTTGGGCTAATATACCTTCTTACTCTATTTTCAGACTAAGAAAATGAGGTAGGGGGAAAAAAGCTTTCCTTGTGTTAAGCCTAACCTACTAACGGTTAATATTGACCCACAAGGTAAAGAACAATTAGCCTTAGACGTGTGTCTGGTCAATGGTCACGTTTGCTCACTACAGTTGTTTGCCGAAAAGACTTCTCTTACTATTTAAAGAATTAGCCCTTGATTTGGCTATCACACGAATCTGGTGAAGGGCAACATTCTTTTGGCAAGTTATCAAAAGGGAGTATAGGAACAGTTATATCTAATAATGAACTACTGCTTATCAGCCCAGAAACTCCAACAGGACTAGATAACAAGTATTCCAGAAGAAAAGGGACTTTCTTAGAGGGCCTGGCACAGGAGCAGTGGCACAGCAAGATCTTTTTCTTTTTTAATTAATTTATTTTGATTTATCAATAATCACTTTCATATGCTTTTGAGTTTAAAATTTTCCTCCCTTCCCTCCCCACTACCCTCCCCAAGACGGCACAAAATCTGATATAGGCTATACATATACATTCCTATTAAACATATTTTCACATCAGTGATGTTGTAAGTAAGAATTAGGACCAATAGGAGGAAGCACCAGAAAGAGGGAACAAAACTCAACAGAAGAAAAAATAGCAAATAGTATGCTTCGATCCAGCAGGAACTTTTTCATCAGTAATCAGTGACTGAACTTATTTTTTTTTGTATAAATTCTATTTCATGATAAGAATCTCTAAGTGATTGCTGCGTTGTCTCAGAAAATAATTTTTTGAATCAAACTTTCAGTCTATCCCACTCAAATCATGAAGTACAAAAATAGGATGTCCAGGTAATTTAATTATCCAGATATCATACATAGGATCGGGGATTAGGAGCTGAAAAGAATCTTGGATGTCATCTGGTCCAACCCTCTCATTTTGACAAAGGAGGAAACTGAGACCAAATGACATGTTTGCAGAGTCACAAAAGTGGTAAAATATAGACAGGATTTAAAACCCAGATTCTTTGACTTGAGATTAAGCACTTTCCCCACTGATTCTAAGATCCTTTTGGAAAGTTACAACAATAACTTAACACACACCTATACATATAAATGTACTTTATAGGGATAGTGTAAAGATGAAATATATAAGATATACCAAACATCTAAACATTATCTCTGAAATTTAAGGATAATTCTCTACACATTCTTTACCCTTCTATAATCTAACAGGATAAGAAGGTGGGAGTTTCTCCATAATTATTCATATAAATCATTGCATTTCTACAACAGAGTTTCACTGTCATGGGGAAATGGCCCTGGATTCACAAAGACCAATATCTGAACTCCAGTTATTCAGACATTGTATTTATTCAGTAAGTTTTGTGGTTTATGTAGACAACTTCATCATACCCTAACATAAAAGGATGATTTTGAAAGCACGCTACTGAAGGCATTCTGCCGCTAATACAGCAGGTTCCTCTAAGTCTAGGAAATCCAGGTCCTCTGCCCAGCTCAACTACTGATTCATGGTGACCTTGTACACGTTTCCATTTTTCTATCTAAACTACCATAGTAGGAAAAGCACTGGACTTGTAGTTGTATGACCTGAGTTTGAATCCTGGTTCTTTTTACCTGTGTGTGGTTGGACAAGTCTCTATCTCTCTGCACCTCAGTTTTCTCATCTATAAAACCTGAGGTCAGACTAGATACATTCTAAGGACCCTTCTAGCTCTAGACATATAAGCCTGTGTCAAAACCCCATTTTAAAATATATGTTATGTCCATCATAAGGAGACTCTATTACTACTACCCCATTGTTCCTGGTATTGCTCTTAGGGGCCAAACAGAATAAATCTAATTTTTCTATCACATGAGAGCCTTTCAAATACTTGGAAGCAACTATCATACTTTATTCTCCTGTATAACCCTAGATGAGTCACTGTGCCTCTCTCTCTGTTCCTTGGTTTCCTCATTTGTATAATGGAGTTGGAGTAGATAAATTCTAAGTTTCCAACGGATAAAACAACATGTACTTTAAAATACTGTGTGGATTTTACAGGGATAGTGTGAAGATGAAACATATAAGGTCTGCCAAATATTTTCCATGAAATTTGAGGATAATTCTCTATATATTCTATATCCCTCCATGACTAGGACATTTTATCTGCCCTGACAGCCCTCCACCTTCACACTGACTGTCAGTCCAGGAACAAAGCTCCCTTCTCCCCATTCCCCATACCAGACAACCTATTAGAGTAGGCCCAAATTGGAGGGCGAGAACCTTGAATAGGCCTCACTCCCCTATAATCAGTTGGGCCCCAAGACTCCATCTACCTGTTCCTTGACCATTAGGCAGAACCAGTGACCTACCATCTGCCTGCTGCTGTGTAACCTCCCTCTTTTCCATCAGTTGCTCAGGGATTGACAGCCAAATCAACATGATCTTGCTATTGCCCTATGTGTCCATTCAGCAGACAATCTGAGTTGGAGTTGTCCTAAAATGTAACTTTCTTCCCTGGCTTCTGCTGAACCTTTTCATTTGCTCTGCAGCTGAAGCTTCATATATCTTGTCTTCCCAATTAGAATGTGAGCAAGGGGGTGGAGTAAAAGCAGTGACTTGCTTGAGCTCTCCCC